CCAAGGCTGGTATGTGGGGGGGCGGGGGGCTGGCCGCTATATATAACAACCAGGTCTGGCGGGTGCTGCATCCTGGAGGAGAGGGTTGGGGCTGACCCCTGCCTTGTGGGGAGTGTCCCCAGTGGGGGGGCATTGATAGGGGACAGTTCTCCTGTGCTGACACACACCCCCTGCTCCTTTTCTCCGCAGTCTCTTGTAATCCCTGAGAAATTCCAGCACATCCTGCGAGTGCTCAACACCAACATAGATGGGCGACGGAAAATCGCCTTTGCCATCACCGCTATCAAGGTGAGGGGGCTGTGGGGTGTATCTCCTTCCCCCCCCCCCCCAATGGGGGCATGGCTGGGTGTCCCTGCCGTCAGCCCTGGGATTTCTGTACCAGAGAGAGAACGTCAAAAACATCCCAGTGCCTCTGTGTGCATCCATGGGGCACCCTCCCTGGGGAGATGGGGTGCTGGTGTGGGTGCCCCATCTAGGACTTAGGGGTCAGGGCTGACCCTGTGTGGTGGAGCGGGCCCGTGGAAGGAGAGGTGCTGCACAGCTGGGATGGAGAAGGGGGTCAGGCTCCCAAAGGTTCTCACGCCTGCAGTTAGCCTGGGGAACTCCCTGTCACAAGGTCTCACTGAGAGGGGTGCGGGTGTAACCCACGCACCTCCGGGGTGTGGTGTCTGTCCCATCTAGTGGCACCGAGACCACTCAGAGAGCGAGATTAACGAGTCTACAGCCGTGGCTAACAGCCCAGTGGTGTTTAGCTCATGCAGTAGAGGCCCCAGGTTCGATCCCGCGGTTTGTCTGTCTTACATGGGCAAGGGTGGGGGGGTATATGGAGACATGTATGGGGGGGGGTGTTAAAGCTGGGCTGTACCATGGGTGTCTCTTGAAGCAGGTTCTTCTGTCCTGGGGGGGGGGGGGGGGTGTCTTGCTCTCAGCATCAGAGACTGAGCTTCCCGGGAACTTTATGTGGTGGGGGGTACTGAGTCCCCGCCCTGCGGCTTTCTTAATGTTTCTTCCCCCTTCCAGGGTGTGGGTCGGCGCTACGCCCATGTGGTGCTGAGGAAAGCGGACATTGACCTGACCAAGAGGGCTGGGGAGCTGACAGAGGATGAGGTGAGCAAGGGGAGGGCAGGGGTGGTCTCTCTGGGACCATGGGGGGGTGGCACTTGTCTCAGATGGGGTGGGGGGTCTAAGGGAAGCTGGGGTCCCTGGGATGAAGCTGGTATGGCTCTCACTTGGGGACCTGGGTGGGGGGGCTGAGGCTTGGGGTGTATCTGGGAGCCAGCTGAGGCGTGTCTGTGGTGGGGGTGGGTTTCTTGTGGTATCTAGGTGGAGGTTGGCGTCGAGCGTGGGAATGTCTTGGAGGGGGGATGTCTGGGGTGAAGGAGGGAGGTCTCTCTGGGGTGAGGGGAGACCCCTGCCTGACCCCATCTCTGTGCCCCCCACAGGTGGAGCGTGTCATCACTATCATGCAGAACCCCCGGCAGTACAAGATCCCCGACTGGTTCCTCAACAGGCAGAAGGACGTCAAAGATGGCAAATACAGCCAGGTGAGAGCGGGGTGCAGAGCCCATCGCTGGGTGTGTGTTTCGGGAGGCTCTGATGTTCAGTGCAGTGTGGGGCTGGGCTCGTTCCTCCCCGCACTGCAGGGGCTGCTCTGGGGTCCCATAGGCAGCAGGGGACTTTGTCACCCCAATGCGTTGGGGGGGCACCAGCCCATTGGCTGTCATTGCAGAGTTAACAAGAATCCTGTCCCAGCATGCATGCCCTCTGCACTCAAGAGGGGCGGATCAGGGGCTTCTGGCCTCCCTGACTCTGGTCGTGAGGGTGAGGATGAGGGGAGACGCCATGGAATTGAAAGGGGACAAGTTCAAACCTGCTACAAGGAAAGACTTTTTCATATGTGCCCTGTACTTAGCCTGTGGAACTCACTGCCACAGGATGTCGCTGAGCCAGGTTCACAGAGGGACTGGCTGTTTCTGTGGCTCACAGACTATCCAGGGCTGGACCAGTTCATGCTGACAACGGGCAGGGATCTCAAACCTCGTGCTGCAGGGCCTGAGCCGATCTCTGATGATCCCAGATCAGGACGAGCCCTGACTTGGGGTAGATTGTCCCACAGCTGCTCCTGTGGGGCTCTGCCCCAGCTGGCGCTGGCCCCTATTGCAGAGGGAAGCTGGGCTGGGTGTCTCTGAGCCAGTCCAGCTGTGCCTGATCTCCCCTCCCCCATGTCTCTCTCCTCAGGTTCTGGCCAACGGGCTGGACAACAAACTGCGTGAGGACCTGGAGCGGCTAAAGAAAATCCGGGCGCATCGGGGCCTGCGCCATTTCTGGGGGTACGAGAGGAGCGAGAGCTGTGGGAGGGGTGAATGGTGGGACCTAATGAACGGGGGGGGGCTTTTGCCTACTCCCTGGGAGATGGGGGGGGTCCCTTCATCCTTTGCTGTGCAGTGGGGACAGGTGGGTGAAGATAAAGGGGGTCATTGGGCTGGATAAGGGGAGGGGGAACTGGGCGCAGAGCCTTTGCATGTGGGTGTAGCAGGGGATTATGGGACGATGCAGAGCTGGGGGTGCAGGGCCATAGGGAGTTGGCTGGAGGGTGGATTCAGAGCTGGGGGGCAGGTCTGGAACCGGGGAGCAGCAGCAGGGCGGGCCGGGGTCTGGTCCCATCTCACTCCCCTCTCTCCCCAGGCTGCGCGTGCGGGGCCAGCACACCAAGACGACCGGGCGCCGGGGCAGAACCGTCGGTGTGTCCAAGAAGAAGTAGTGTCTGCCCTGTGTCTGCAATAAAGTGCTGTTCTCAGAGCTGCCTCCTCGCTCTGTGTGTGTGTGGGGGGATCTTTGCGACTAGGGAGCGACCCCCCCATGGGGAGAGATTAGGGGGTTGTCATCACCTCAGTGGAAGGGCAATGGGGAGGAGTAAACTTGGGCCCAGGGCCCAGCTGGGCAATCATCATTCTGGCCTGGGCCCCAAAGATTCTGTAGGGTGGAGGGGGTTGGTGTGGGGCTGGGTCTCAGGGGGCCCTTTCCCCCTGTGAACGGGGTAAGGGTGGTCAGTGCAGGCCCCAGCGGTGTTGGGGCAGCAGTGCGGGGTTCCATTCTGCATCCTGCTCTACCCCCAATTGGGGGAGGGGTACAGGAGGCTTCTTTGTGGCCTGTGTGCAGTGCTTCAGACCCTGCACCTTGCCCCACCCATAGCTGTGCCCCTCCAGGGCTCCCTGCATAAACAGCCCCCATGCCCCACCTCGGGCAGCTGCAGGTGAGGTGGGTCCCTGCGTCCAAATTAGGGGAGTGGGAACATGCCATGGGGGACTGTCCTGGGACAAGGGGGCTCTGAAAAAGATGTGGGGGTCATGGTGGATAATCAGCTGCACATGGGTTGCCCGTGGGATGCCGAGATGCAGAAAGGGGAGTTGTGAACAGAGAGGTTATTTTCCCTCCGGAGGGGGGCCTGGCACAGCCGCGGCTGGAAGGGGGTGTCCAGTTCTGCCGCCTGCAATTCCAGAAGGCTGTTGATAAGCTGGAGGAGTCAGAGAAGAGCCTTGAGAACGAAGAGAGGAATGAAAAAGGCCGTCCAGTGCTAGGCTGCGGGAGGTCAACGGTGGGGTTTTAAATGAGGATTGGCTGCTTCTCTAAAACGAATTCTGCACTAGGGGTTATGGTGGGCCACTCGCTGCAGTGGGGTCAGACTAGATAGGCACAAATATCCCTTTTGGCCTTGGAATCTGTGAAACCTGCCCCTCCCCAGAGGTGGCTGCATCCCTGTGCCCCATAGCGTGACCCTGGTGAGTTCCCCCCTATCACGTGGGCTGTGCTGAATTCACTGGCCTCCCTGCTCATGGGTCTGTATGGGATAGTTTAGGCCTGTGCCCTCATCCAACATGGCCGCCGCTTGACTTCGCCCTTTCGTCCAGCCCCGCGTCTCAGCGGCCGGATAGTTGCCCTCACCCATGATGTCACCTGTACGGCTTCACTACCGGGCAGGTTGTCGCCGCGTTGATTGGCCGCGGGCTCAGTCGCCTCGCTCCGTGATTGGATGCGGCGGCCGGGACCGGAAGAGCCTGGCCCGCAGCTGGAGGCTGCACGTGGTTCCAGGCGCTGAGGATGGAGGCAGTGGCTGGGAGCGGGGCGCAGGGGGGGCCAGCCGGGGGGGGCAAGAAGGTGAGTGCCGGGGCAGTGAGCCCCTCCCCTCGGGAGTGGGGCAGTTCCCCCCCCGTGTCGGTGGGGCGGGGATTCCCCGTGGAGGGGGTGGTGGTTACCTCTCCCCCGCGTGTCTGTGGGGCGGGGATTCCCCCGGGGGGGGGTGGTTACCCCGTGTCATGAGCAGGGAGGGGGCAGGTCACTAACTCGAGTCGGGTGCATCCAGGGGGCGAACACCCAATTACAGGGGTTTGAGGGGGAGTTTATTGCCCCCGTGTCTGTGGGGCCGCGGGGTCTCTACGACAACTCTAGTAACTTGAGGACACGGGGGAGGGGCTGGCTGTATCCGTGGGGTGTCCCGCGAGGAGTGATCTGGGGGGCAGGGCTGGCAGCCCTGGGGACACGTCTGGGGCACCTAGTCCCTTGCTGGGTTAGGGGTGCAAGTCTTTCCCTGTGGGGGGGTTGGAGGGCAGTTCCCCCCCCCCGACTATGTGTTGTGGCTGGTGGTTCTGCCCCTAGTTGTGGTGGGGGGCACTCCCCATCAGACCAGTGGGAGTTGCTGGCTATTCTGCCCTGTGGGGCAGGTATCTCCCCACAAGTTGGGGGGCAGTTTTTAGTCTCTGTCCTCTGTGCCCCCCCTCCCAGCTGGAGGAACTGATTCCCCCCATGTCTCACCCCCTCACCAATCTCCCCACCTCCCGAGCTGGGGGTAACTGATTCTCCCCCACGATTCATCCCCCCTTTCTCTGCCCCGCACCCCCCGAAGAAGAAGACGACGACAAAGAAGCTGCAGCGCTACTGGGAAGGGGCCCCCCAGCCGGACCCCCCCGCAGCTGCCCCCTCCAAGGCCAAGAGGCGTCGTCGCAATGAGAAGACCAGGCCAAGGGCTGGGGCAAAGGGGAGCCTGGAGGCCAGGAAGAGGCCGCGGGCGTCAGAGGCCGCAGGCCGGATCTCTGGGGTAAGGCTGGGAATGCTGGGGGGCTGGCCATGGGGGGAGGAGGGGCAGCTGAGGTTGGGGGGACGAGGGCCGGGGGATTGCACGACAAAAGGGAGTACCGTTGGGGCTCTGGGGGGAATGGGGGCCCGTAGCAGGCCCCCCACCCTCCGTCTGTCTGTCTGTGTCTCTCTCTCTCCCTAGAAGAGGGACCCGTTCCCCGGAGCCGCCCCCCTCTCTCGCCACAAGGTGAAGAAATTCCAACGGGGCCAGAAATCGCAGCTGGTGAGTTGAGGGGCGTGGTGGAAATCGGGGGGGCAGCTGGGTCTCTGGGGGTTGCCGGGCAGTTACTGACCCCCAGTGGTGGGGGGCGGGAGGGACGGGGCCACGTGCGGCTCTCACCCCGTCTGTCTGTCCGTCCGTCCGTCCACCCCCCCAGGCAGGGGCGTCCAGCCGGCGGCTCTGGGACCATCTGGCCTCGCTGGATCAGAAGGTGGAGCTGGCAGCGCAGCAGGCCGCGCGCATGGAGCTGCTGCTGCCCGAGGAGCCAGGGTGAGTGGCCCCCCCCCGGAGCTGGGGCAGCTGCCCCAGTGCCCCCATCATCTGCTACCTTCAGGCCCCCGCCCGGTGCTGCCACTTGAGCCGGGGCTACCCGCTGGTTCCCCCCCACCCCCGTGGGATGGGTGATACACACACACCCTTAACTCCATACACATGCCCCCGATCCCGGCCGGCTCCCCTCCCCCACCAGTGCTGTCCATTCCCAGCTCTCACACACCCCCCCCCCCGCAGGTTCCTGGAGGGGGACCCCGGCGAGGACACCTGCACCATTGCCCAGGCCGACATCGCTGAGGCTGCCGACATCGCCAGCGCCACCAAGGTCAGAGACGCCCCCACACGACCGGGGGGGGGAGGGTGTCGTGAGGTGGGGGGAATGGCAGGGGGAGGGGTCGCCCCTAGGATGTGGGGGGGGTCACTAGGGCAGTATTGGGGGGGATCACGGGAGCATCTCAGTGGTGCAGGGGGGTCACCGGGGGGATCCCGGGGCAGCGTCTCTGGGGGGCTCACCCGGGGTTGGTGGTCCCTGTGCTGTGTCTAACCAGGTCTCTACCCCCCATAGCACTTTGAGCTGACGCTGAACCAGTTTGGCCCCTACCGGATGGATTATACCCGACCTGGCCGGTGAGTGGGGGGATGGGCAGGGAGGAGCATGTGGGGGGAGAGTAGGAGGGAGGGGGACCCATGGGGCAGGTGGGAATCAGTGGGGAAGGAGTGGGGGGTTGGCTGGCTGTACCTAGGTGGCAGGTCTTCTGGGGAGCGGTTGAAGAGGCAGGGCCCGACTGGGTTCTCCTGTGTGGGGGAGGGTCTGCGTCAGGGACCCCTAACCCCACAGGCCTCCCCTGAGCTGCTCTGGGGGTCCCAGCAGGATCCCATAGGAGCAGGTCAGGAGACATACGGAGACTGGATTGTGTGTGTTAGAAGATGAGTCTCCCCGGTCCATGGCCAGGGGGTTCCCCGGCTGCTCCCCTCATCCCTCCCATCTCCCCCCACAGGCACCTGCTGCTGGGGGGCCGGCGGGGCCACGTGGCAGCCCTGGACTGGCAAACCAAGTCACTGCTATGTGAGATCAACGTCATGGAGACGGTCACTGACGTCACGTGAGTGTGCGACTGGGGGCATGCGACACAGATGGGCACATGAGTGGCGGGGGGGGGGGGGGAACGCGGATGGGCGACCAGGGGGTGTGCAACACGGAGGAGTCCGGGAGGGCTGGGGGCTGCATCCGCTGCTCCCTGCAGGTGTAACGGTGCATCAGCAGGACGTGCCCATTGCACATGTGGGTGTGCATTGGGAAAGCGAGTGTGCACATCCCTGCCCGCCCATGGCTGGGGAGGCTGGTTGGGTTGCACGAGGGGGCGTGTTGCACAGGCAGTGTTTGCCAGGTTGCACACGGGCTGAGCCGTGCAATGGGACACGTCGTTGCCTCCCCCATCTCACCCCCCCTTCCCCGTCCCCAGGTGGCTGCACACGGAGACCATGTTCGTGGTGGCCCAGCGGCGCTGGCTCTACGTCTACGACAACCAGGGCGTGGAGCTGAACTGCCTGAAACGCTTCAACGGGGTCCTGCGCATGGAGTTCCTGCCCTACCACTTCCTGCTGGCCACCGCGGTGAGCGGGGGGGAGGGGGTCCTGCTGGCCACCGCGGTGAGCGGGGGGAGGGGGTCCTGCTGGCCACCGCGAGGTGGGGGGGAGTCCCTGCTGGCCACCGCGGTGAGCGGGGGGGGGTCCCTGCTGGCCACCGCGATGAGCAGGGGGGTGAGGGAGTCCTGCTGCCCACCGCGGTGAACGGGGCGGGGGGTCCTGCTAGTCATCACGGTGAATGGGAGGGGTCCCACTGTGTGGGGGTCCAGATGCCGGGGTTCCTGCTGCTCACCACAGC